TAGTATGCCATTAGCCCGATGTCCGTCATCTCAAATTCTTTGGTCATCACTTTCTTGAACTCTTCAAACATGCTTGGATTACTCCCAGTGAAGATTAGATCATCCACATATAAGCACACAATCAAAATATCTCCATCTTTGACTTTGACGTAAAGAGCATGTTCATGAGGGCACTTGGTGAAGTTGTTTTCTTGGAAGTACTTGTCGATGCGACTATTCCATGCTCTTGGCGCTTGTTTTAACCCATAGAGGGCTTTCTTCAGTTTCAGAATCTTGTCTTCATGCCCTTTGATTTCATAGCCTGATGGTTGCTGAATGTAGACTTCTTCTTCAAGGACTCCATTTAGGAAGGCGGACTTCACATCCATTTGTTGAATCTTCCATTTGTTTTGAGCTGCCAAAGAAATTAGCAATCGTATCGTTTCCAAACGAGCAACAGGTGCAAATACCTCATCATAGTCTATTCCGGCTCTTTGACTATAGCCTTTCGCCACTAGTCTCGCCTTGTATCTTTCGACCTTTCCGTTGGCATTTTTCTTTGTCTTGTACACCCACTTGACTCCGATGGCTTTGTGTCCTTTTGGAAGAACAGTGAGTTCCCATGTTTCATTTTTCTCGATTGCTTCGATTTCTTCATCCATTGCTTTCCTCCACTTAGTATCTTGTACTGCTTCTTGGAAGTCGACTGGTTCACAATCAGCAAAGAGACAGAAAAGTGTAGGATTATCAAGTCTTTCAGCCACCTCATAGAGATCTCGTATACTTCTTGTGCGTGGTACTTCTCTTTCATTTAGGCTCCCACTTGATGATGTTGATGCTGGTGAATTGCCATGATTGGTTGATATTGGTGAAGCAGGTGGAGTAGTGGATTCTTGTTGAACCTCTCTTGCTTGCTCCATCGTCCCTTGTTCATTCTCTTCTTCAAATTGAGGAAAGAAATGAAGATCTCCTGCATGCGGGCCAAAATCCCATTCTTCTTCTTCGTCGAACGTCACGTCTCGACTGATCACCGTCTTTCCATTGTTTGGATTATACAACTTGTAGCCTTTTGAATTTGAGTCATAGCCGATGAAGATGAACTTCTCACTTTTGTCGTCGAGTTTGGCTCTCCTCTCGTCTGGTACATGTACATGGGATATGCTTCCAAAAACTCTTAGATGAGAGATACCTGGTTTTCTTCCACTCCATGCTTCTTGCGGAGTCTTTCCCCACACACTTCTTGTTGGAGATCGATTGGATAGGTAGACAGCACATGTTACAGCTTCTGCCCATAACTCCTTAGGCAATCTCTTGCTTTTGAGCATACTTCGAGCCATGTTGAGGATAGTTCGATTTTTTCTTTCCGCCACACCATTTTGTTGAGGGGATCTTGGAACTGTCAAAGGTCGACGAATTCCATTGGCTTCACAAAATTCTTGAAATTCCTTTGAAGTGAATTCTCCTCCTCGATCAGATCTCATGGCTTTGATCTTGCAACCACTCTCTTTTTCTACGGCGGCTTTGAACTTCTTGAATGCTCCAAAGACTTCTGATTTCTGCTTCAAGAAATAAACCCATGTTTTTCTTGAAAAATCATCAATGAAGAGAAGGAAATAATTATTTTTACCCAAAGAGCTTGGTTTTATAGGACCGCACACATCGGTGTGAATGAGCTCAAGTGGCTTCTGGGCTCTTGTGGTCGACTCCTTTGGAAAGCTTTTCCTGAATTGTTTTCCAAGTAAACATCCTTCACAAACTTGATCAGGGTGGCTGATGCACGGTAATCCTCTCACCATCTCCTTCTTAGATAATAACTCCAATCCCCCGAAGTTAAGATGCCCAAAACGAAGATGCCAAAGCCAAGATATGTCTTTGTAACATATCTTGAGACACTTTGCAACATCGTTTTGAATGTTCATGGGAAACATCCTATTCTTTGACATTTTCGCCTAGGCAATTAATCTTCCTTTGTCATCTCTAAGAAAAAGGATATAATTTTTTGTATGAAAATCATAACCTTTTTCTAAGAGTTGACCCAAACTCAAAATGTTGCTTTTCATATTGGGAACGTAGTAGACATTTGAAATTAATTGGTGACCGCCATTTTCAAGGGGAATAAGGATGTTACCTTTTCCTTTTACGGGTATTTTGGATTCGTCTCCAAAAGAAACGTTGCCACTCACTGATTCATTGAGCTCTACGAACACGCTTCTTTTTCCACACATGTGGTTGCTGGCGCCGGTGTCAAGATACCATGTATAGTCTTGGTCTCCATCATTGTTCTTGCATGCTAGTAGCACAACGCCATTCTCTTCTTTATCTTCTTTCACATAATTGACCTTCTCATCAAGTCTGTTGTTTGGAGCTCTACATTCCCAAGCATAATGCCCGAACTTTTGACAATTATAGCATTGAACTTGAGATTTTTCATACCTCAAGTTTGAGCGTCCTCTCCCACGACCTTTTGTTGAGCTTTCTCCTCTTTCGTAGTTGCTATGGTTGTTGAAGTTCCAACTTCGTCCACGTCCATGTCCACGCCCACGTCCGCGACCTCGGCCACGACTTCTTTCGTTTTGGCTTCTCTCGTTGTCGAAGCTTTCTTCTTTCTTCTTTGGCTGAACATGCGTCTTGAGAAGCTGCTCATCATTCCCTTGCCTCTTCTTATGTTTCTCTTCATATGCTTGTAGCGAGCCCATTAAATGCTCTATACTGATTTCTTCCAAGTCTTTTGTCTCTTCAATCGTCACAACAATGTGCTCGAATTTGGGGTCCAACGAGCGTAGTATCTTCTCCATAATTCTAACATCTTCTAATTTTTCACCGTTTCTTTTTAATTGATTGGAAACGGCTAAAACTCTTGAGAAGTAATCGGAGATTGATTCAGACCCTTTCATTTGTAAGGATTCGAACTCACCTCTTAATACTTGAAGACGAACCTTTTTCACTTGTTCGGCTCCTTTGTAAGAGGTTTGAAGCTTCTCCCATGCTTGCTTGGCGGAGGTTGCACTTGAGACCTTCTCAAAACCATTGTCATCTAATGCTTGGTAGATGAGGTAGAGAGCCTTCTTGTCTCTCTTTCTTGAATCTTTCAAACTCTCCTTCTGGGGTTGGGACAGAGTAGCTTCATCTTCTGGCTCAGTGTAGCCTTTCTCCACGACTTCCCATACATCATGTGCTCCCAAAAGGGCCTTCATTTTGATACTCCAATTATCGAAGTTGTTGTTGTTGAGCACTGGAACTTGGAAAGCTGCCATAGCGTTGTTAGCCATGGCTCTGATACCACTTTGTTGGGATTTAAAAGACTTCTCTACTTTGGAGATGTCTATCTCACAAATAAGAATGTAACACAGAGGAAATTGATAGGCAAGAGAAAAAGAATATTCAAGGTAACACTCAAAACTTTTCTTATTCTCACACAAACTAATACAAGAGAAATCACTCAAACACTCTTGGAAGCTATGAATGCTTCTTCTACTTATTCTCACTTTAGAGAGCCTTCTTGTCTCTCTTACTTCTTCTTCTTCTTTCTCACTTCTCTTTTCTTCTTCTTATGTCTTTCATTACAACATACTCACCTATATTTATAGGCAAGCATAACCAACCATACCAAGTGTGAATACCAAGTGTGAAATCATCCTGGCCATTATTCTTGATTCTCTTAAAGTAGCCCACCAACATAGACTTTGCTTATGAACATAATGAACACATGCCATATTCATGCTAGAATTGTCTAGCATTTTTCAATGCATGCATCCACCATTCTAGAAGCAAGATTACTTTTCAACACTTCTTGCCACGTTTGTCAGGTGTCAATTCCACATACCCCGCATGAGTGTTTGCATGTTGTTGCAATCGGTGTAGTCGGTGCTCACTGCTGCTGGCCACGTTTGTTTGCTGGTTGTCGGTGATCGCAGCTGCCACTCACAGTTACTGACTCATCATGGCTTGCATGATCATAAGTATGTTTCTCATTGAGCAACAGCACATTATAGGTGCTTTGGTGTAACAGACCATCATCATTACACATACTTAATTTCTTATAATTGATCTGTAATTTCAACCAAGGCTGCTGCAATCGGTGAATGTTCAGCATCATTCCCCATTTAATCATCTTCTTCAAATATAAGATTGTCATTGTCCATCTCTAACTCCATAAACAACTTGGTAGATTAGTCTTACAAATCGTACTCCTTACTATGTCCATTAGGGTTCTCCTTCTTTTCTTAGCCACTTCGTTTTGCTCGAGATTTCTAGTGTGGTGTATTGAGCTACAATTCCATTTTCTTGTAGAAAAAGAAAAAAGGGCAAATGGACTAAGATGTCTGCCAGTTTTGAGTGTATCTACCATTGTATTCACCTCTCCTATCAGACCTAACCTCCTTAAATTTTTTTTTTTTTTTTCTTCCAATTGGTTTTCGATGTCAATTTTGAAATCTTAAAGTTTCAAGTGCATTTGATTATTTTGAATTAGATAGATGAAACAAAATCAAGAAAAAGTAGTTTATGAAATATTTATGTCCCTCTATAGTTTGTGTGGGAAAAAAGACCACAAACGTCCGTATGGATGATTTCTAAAGTTTCTTTGCTTCTTGTTGATCCTTTCTTTCTACTACTTGTCATTTTTCCCTTAGCATAATCCACACAGAACTCAAAACCATTAAAAATTACGGGAGGCAAAATATCATTATTGACAAGTAACTCATCCTTTGTTTTGACATATGACCTAGCCTCTTTTGCTATAAGTTTGATGATTGTCGAGTCTTAGTATGTTCATTTGAATGTTAAAAATAAATTCGACTTTGTTGAGTTTTATTTGATGTTCTCCTTGTTATGAAGTTCTGCAATGAATTCGTAACATGAATAGAAAAGCTAGAGTCAAGCCACCATTTAGTGCTAGGTATAATAATTAAATTAGACTCAAAACAAGCAAAAAAGTTTTTACCTTTCTTCATATGGCAAGCCAAGCCTTATACAAAAATAATGTTTGAGAATCGATGGCTTGTTAGGTTTGGTGTTTTCTTTTAGGAGAGGGAACCCTTTTTGGTAGAATTCTTTCTAGTATCGGTGGTTAAGGGTGTATGTGCCTCGGTGGTACTTCGTACATAGTTCAAAGACTTAATCTTCTCATTTTCAAACTTTTTCATCCTTTCCTCCTCACTCACACATACTGAAATTAACTCATTCACATCCCACTTTTCACGCAATGCATTGTAGGACAATTTGAGATGTGTATAACTATCAGGCAGGGAACTCAATATCACATGTACCAAGAAAGTTTCAGGGATTAGTACCTCGAGAGCTTTGAGTTTTCCAGCGATGTCCACCATTTTTAAAATGTACTCACACACACTCTCTATGCCATCATGTCTCATGGTTGTCAGTGAATTCATGAGATTACCTGTTTCAATTTTTGGTGACTCTTGGTACTTTTCTTCAATGGACTTACGGAAATTGTTTGCATTGGTAGCATCCGTCTCAGTTTTTGGTGACTCTTGGTACTTCTGGTCAATGGACTTGAGAAATCCTTTGCATTGGTAGCATCTGTGAAGGCTCCTCGAACCACATCAATCATGCTTCTTTTGATAATCAATAAGGAAATTCTGTTTGATTTGTGCCACTTTTCATATTTAGACTTCTGACTTGAGGTGCTTCCATCTGTTCGTGTAGGGGGCTCTTCAGTTCTAAGTGCTAAGTCCCAATCCATGACACCTAGCACGATCTCAAGATCTTGCTTCCATTTCTTATAGTTGACACCAGTGAGTGGTTTAACTGTATTAAGGTGCATGGAGCTAGGATTCATAACTGTCAAAGCACATAGTTCAAGTATTAATCTTTAAATCCCCAGACTATAAATCACCTTTTCAACATCTTTGGATTGATGAACATGTGAAGACTTTCTTTAATCATATCACCTTTATAACCAACATTCGAATTTCTGTAATCAAAATTATAAACCTTTGTGGTTTGACAATAGTAATTCGATTCAAACATTCGTATATAAAGTGATATACTACTTAAATTCTAAGCATGAAAGAATGATCTTCTTTAGATGACCAGTGATCATGTCTTGAATTTAAGCACCATCACTGGTATGTATATCTGAATGAAAATATATGTCTTTATGATCAAGGATAGCTTTAGCTATCACTTGATCGTGTTCATATATATTTCCCTAATGATATACTACCAGTTCTGTAACCTGCGAGACAAGGAAAAATTTCTTGATGCCTTCGACATAGGGTTAAATGATATGTGAAGGGCTCTGATACCAAATGTAAGTAAATTCTGCAACGGAAAAACTTATTCACAATTATCAACTTAACCACTTACCTGTAGAAGACATCGTCTCAGAGAACTAGGATTAATAACTGAAGTTCTTCTGCAACTCTACACAACCGAAAGCAAGGCTCGCTCAATGGGGCTTGAGTTTTCTGTAAACTTGCGTGTCCTGTGAGAGAGCAGGGACCTCAGTTTTATACTTCATACGATGGAATTCAATCAGGATCCCTCCCATTAAGTGATCCTTATCAAAGAGTAGCCTTATCACCGTGAAACACTCATGCATTATATCAGCTAGAAGAGTTCTAGTCTTACCGAGAATGTATCTGACTTGAATCTCCAAAGAAATACAATTCCTGATAAGTCTACCACAAGTGTCAATCCTAATCTCCTTATCATTCCAAATGTCTTTAATCAAATCACAAAGTGTTTGCTCTCATATAGAACTTACAATAATGCCTTAATATGAAATGACAAAGTTTTACAGAGTCTTTAATGAAATTCTTGTGCTATGCAGAGATCCTTAACGAAAAATGTAAGAAGTTTTTCGGAAAATATTGTTGAAGCTTTATGCAATTTCGATTGGAAATTACAAAAGTTTTAAAAAGTAGGTGTCGGTGTGAGAGTAGTTTGGGTAAGTTAAGTGGGTATTCTAAGATAATTTTTTATTTAAAAAAAAATATATATGTAAGGTGATTTCAGTAAGTGACGTGTGTTAAAAAAATTGTGGAGTGCCAAAAAACCAACCAGCTGACGTGTGAATCATACTCTCTAATATTTATATCACATTATTAGGGTTTTTATATCACAAATTGTCCTTTATGTTTTGTGAACTCAACAGTTTGGTTCTCAATTGTCATTCCTCATCTATTGCTCTACTCATCAATGAGTTGAATATCAAAGTGCGCAACGAATAAGACTAACAAAATAATAGGAATATTATTAAACAAATAAGAATCCCAGAACGGCTACAAAACTCCAAAGGGTTACATTGTGAATGACTTGTTCTCAAATGAATAACAAGCACGCTATTTATAATAAACTAACCTTAATCCTAAAATGTAAGAAATCAAAACCCTAATGCTAATGGGTTAAGCCCAGGAAACCAAATATTCAAATAAACTAAAATCCTAATATTTTTCAACACCCCCCCCCCCGGCATCAAACTCATGGGGGTATACGATATGGGTTTGCAAACAAGCAGATGTGGATTGGTTCCGTTAGGCGGACTGGTAGGCATGCAAACTTGACTTGACTTGACTTGACTTGATTCTTGATTCTTAACTCTAGATTCTTGCTGCCAAACTAATTCTGGTTCAAACTGATTCTGATCAGTGTTTAGAGTATGAAAAGAACCCGTCACTAAATGGATGAGATTTTCATATCTTAATTGAAGCAACGAACGAACAAACACAAACACTATCACTCGAGTGGTCACAATTCCAAGCACTAGAATGACGGTCACAAAACAATCTCAAACAAGCCAACAACTCGTGTGGCCTAAACACAAACTTAACCATGTTTTTCCCCTTGGCCTTGTGGGCCTAAAACAAACAGCCAAAAAAAATTTTCCTTTTTTTTTTTTTTTTTATCTTTCTTATTTTCTTTTCCTTTTTCTTTTTTTCTTTTCTTTTCTCTTGCCTTTCAACTTCTTTTTTTTTTCTTTCTTTCTAGGCAGAGATTCCAACAGATTCAACATATGGCAAGGTGCAACAACTATCGGTGGAGGATGGTGGTGTTGCGTAGTAGGTCTGATGTGGGCGAGAGCAGGGGGCAGTGGGGCAGATTCTGATGGGGAAGCAACAGGCCGTCAACAACTGAAAAAATTAACACATTTTTTTCCTTGCAAATTGTCAACAACAACTAGACAATCTGAACATGAACGACAATAGACACAAGCAAACGGATACCAACCCAAAATAGATTAAATCCTGAAGGATGAAACCTGCTTTGATACCAAGTTGAATATCAGAGTACGCAACAAACGAGACTAACAAAATAATAGGAATATTATTAAACAAATAAGAATGCCGAAACGGCTACAAAACTCCAAGAGGTTACATTGTGAATGACTTGTTCTCAAATGAATAACAAGCACGCTATTTATAATAAACTAACCCTAATCCTAAAATGTAAGAAATCAAAACCCTATTGCTAACAGATTAAGCCCAGAAAACCAAATATTCAAATAAACTAAAATCCTAATATTTTCCAACACAATGTTGTCTTTGACATGGTTGGATGTCAGACAATATTGGTGAGTAAAGCAGTAAATAAAGGACGATGTTGATGAGTTTAGAAAAATAAGGAAAACTAATGAAAAGGGCTTGAAAACTTTGAGTTTTAATGATAAGGACAAAATAAAGGGTAAAGTAAATAGTACCAGGATTGACTTTTTAGTGTAAAAATGTGGTTTTTCGTTAAAGTGAACAGTACCAGGTGCTTTTCGTTAAAATTCCCTTTAAAATATTACCAAACTAATGAGTTTACGCTATTTGTGACAAAAAAAAAATACCACAATATTGTACAATATTTGTACTAAGCTTTCTCTTAGATGTAGAACCTTCTAATACAAACAAGGCTCTACTGAAGATGTACTACGAAGTATAGTACAATAATGTAGTCTTTTATCATACGTAAATGGCATTGCAGCAGCTTGTGTCCTATAGTTGCAAAAGTCTTACATGCATAGTTGATTTATGCATAAAAAGCATCTCAATGGGGTTTGTAATTCAAAAGTAATAACCAGCTTTCGGTTCCCTCCCGCAAATCATGCACGTACACCTTTGTCAACTTTACACAACAATCGAAGTTTCGCAAAATCATAGAACTAAAACTAACCAATATGATAAGAATGTTCATGTCACGAGATAAATCAAATTAATTAAACAACCTAGAGAAAGAAAAGGACTGATAATTCATTAATATAGATTATATGATAATTAGGTATAGCCTTGCTTGTATTTGCGGAAAAGGTCTTCGGTTTTGGCATTCCTAAAGGCACAGCAGCCTATCAAATAAACGGCAACGAGAGCAATAAGAGTGATGAGCAATATAATGTTGGTTCTTCTCCATTCTTTCTTGAGATTAGCAAGTAATCCAGCTTTGCAGGAATCGCAGTTGAAGCAAAGTTGGGTCTGGTCGTTGCTCCATTGCAGGCAATCCATGTCGGCTGCGTTGTTTATGGGACTTATCCAGTACGTTGGATTCACGAACGTGTACCCACATTGTGTGGGTGGCTTACAGCATCCTGACTGTAAAGATAAAAAATTAAATTAGAACAAGGAAGAAGCTTCACCACAAGGAATAAAGCATAAAGAGATCTGTGAGGATTTGTGAAAAAAAGAAGAATCTCTCAAATGGAAGAGTAAAGTGGGTTTGTTTTGCTGAAATGGTTATCAAACACTCTTAATTTTTTTTTTAAACAAAGGATATGATCGACATTAAAGGGTGGAGGAGTGGGTCAAGCCTCACAATGTGCTAGCAATAATGTGATTCAAATTTGTTTTTAACAAGAATCGAACCTAAGACCTTCCACTTACAATAATCAAACATAAATGAAAACTAATATTAATTTGAAGAGCTGAAAATTATAGTGGTATTTGAAAGAAAACAAAATATAGAAAAGAAAGGAACAAGACAGGCAAGTGGTAGATTTTGAGAATCCAATAATGTGAGACACGGTCAAAATGGTTAACGCTGATATTTTTTTTAGCTTAATCACTTGTAGCCTAAGAGGTGTAAGGCTTTAACCTAAAAGGCCTATGTCATAATTAATAATGAAACCATTTGTATGTAAATCATAATTTGTTTTGTCAAACCTCCAATGTGGGATTTCCAACGCATTGGATTTGAAAAAAGAAAAGAAATGTTGCAATTAATTTTTTTCTTGCCACAAAAAATGGTACAATAAATTACAGAAAAAGAAAATTTATTTGAATTCAACTTTCTTATCTCTATGCCCAACTACAAAAAAATTAATCTACCAAATTTTCAAATTTGACCTTGAATAAATAAATAAATTCTATAAGCCCAACAAAAAAAAAAAAAAAACGCAAATAGCAAGAATGTACTCTCTACACCTTTTTATGGATTAAAAACACGTAACAACGTGCTTCATTAAAAAAATAATAAATTGGGGAATTCACATCCGATCCCTATAAAGAAAAACAAGCGAATAAATAAAAATAAATTGATGTTGGAAGAAGTGACAGAACAATATTTACCTGTAAGGGGGTAATGTGCGCGTTAAAAAAATCTTGAGCCATGCGATATCTCTGATTCAACTCATCACACATATTTGTTGAGCTAAGACAAGCTCTTATGCGTGCCCACTTAAAAGGGTTTCGAACTCTACGGCGAAGCCAACCGGAGTAATCATCAAGGCGATATTCCAAGTAAGACCGGCTCGGTTCGAGGTGGCCAGAGCCTCTAATGGTGACCATGTAGATGAAAACCACCAGAGCAGCAAGCAAGATTATAAGAACCAGCATGGCAATGAGGTAAGAGATAAGGAGCCATGGGATCCTCCAAAACGCTCCCACAAAGCCTGCAATGGCCACAACCAGGAACAAGATGCCTAAAATTATGACAGGCCATTGTAAAAGCTTTACACAAGAATTGTCTGGCTCTGTTGCTAGCCAAATTCCTGCACCAATGATTGGGATTGAGAGGAGCATCGCAACGAAGTTGATGGCTCCGATGACATTGTTGCTAAGTGCCATTTTGGAAACAAGATTTAGCAAGACAAGAAAGATATATCTCAAACTATATATCAAGGGGTAGGGTAACGAAAGCTAGGAGTAGCAAAAGCCATAAGGCCAAATTCTTTTACTATACAAAGGATAGTATGAATGGAAGAGGTCTAACCTTTAAATCCTATTGGCATCAAAACCAACACTTTTTTGTTCCTTACCTTGGATCCATGTAAAGCTAGTAAAATAATAGGTAATGGTTATTTAAAGCGCGTTTTGATCTTTAGGTGTAATTTGAGTGTCACTTTTTTGAAAAGGAATACCTTGAACATAATGAAGGGATAAAAGAAAGAGACAAAAGATATGAGTTGCAAGTAACTAATGCATAAATCATGGAAAGATTTGGAAGAAAGCAATTATTTGAGGACAATAATGCTTGTGGCAGCTGCATCCATGTGAAAAGGGCTTTGCCCTATAAATTTTGCAATGCACAGGGACATCAACTTTTATGAAAAACGAGTTTACTGATACGGGCATCATGGTCCAACAATACATTGTTATGTGTTGAAAACCTTCCTCATGTCATAGTCTTATTAGAATGAGAGGCCACAATAGTATCTGTTTCATATGAGTCATCCCCTCACACAAGACCCCAACTCAAATATGGTTTTAAGTCCTATGGAGTTGGCCCAGGTATAGAACTAGATATTAATATTTTTAGTTTCCTTTAAATATGATGGATTACAATCTTTGTTTTACCATAAAATATGGACAACTTTGTATTAAACATTCTGTCTATGACTTGTAGATTCCTTGTATGATTCTAATGAACCCATTATGCATTTTAATCACACGCTCATTATTCTAGAGCCTAAACTGGATTGGCAGCCATGTAATTAGCAGCATTAGGATTGTCATAGTACATAAACATAAGAAAGGTAAGGGTGACGTCAAGTTCAAGTAGCATATAAGTTAGACTCCTTGTATGACTCTAATGAACCCATAAACTGGATTGGCAGCAATGTAAAGTGTAGCATTAAGGTTGTCATAGTACATAAACACATGAAAGGTAAGGACGACGTCAAGCTCATGGAGCATGTAATAAAGCCATAAAGTTTCAGGCTTCAGCATAGGCGTGAGGAAAGAGAGATTTTTCAGTGTGACTGTCACACGAGGTGATACATCACGTGTCTCTATATAAATGGTAGGTTATGTATGTTAAAAGGTTAATAACTTAAAAGATTAAAATTTTCCACCACTTGCATAAAAACACGTAATGTATCATCCATGTTCCGGTCAAAATTAAAAAATTTCTCGTGAGCAAGAGATCAGTATTAGGTTCAACATTAAAGTAAGCTGCTTTTTGAATCCCTGCTCTCCCACTTCCCATACACTTTCATCCTCCTCCTATTTGTGCGGTCACGGTTAAATTACGTCAAGATTTTATTTTACTTTTTTTTTATAGAGATAATAAGACAAAAAGCGATAGTAATATCAAATATTGACGTGGCTTAACCGTGACCGCACAAATAGGAGATGATGGAAGTGTATGGGAAGTGAGAAAGCAGAGAATTTGCCTCCTTTTGAATCACCAAAAAATAAGATTAAAACCCAAGTAGACAAGATAGCCATACTAGAGGACCAGGATCCTCTCTCTGGATCCTTCTCTGAGGATCCTGTGAGGATCAATTTATCCTAACCCTTCAACACACATCCTACAACCTAAAATTATTTAAAATTAGTTTCCTTATTTCAGCCGTTCTCGTTCTCCAGCCTTCTAACCTATGCATTCTTTTTTGAGAATTTTAACGAAAAGCTCCCGATACTGTTCATTTTAACGAAAAACCACACTTTGACACTAAAAAGTCAATCCTAGTACTATTCACTTTACTCTTTATTTTGTCCTTATCATTAAGACTCAAAGTTTTCAAGCCCTTTTCATTAGTTTTCCTTTCTTTTTTTGGAACTTTAACGAAAAGCTCCAAGTACTGTTCACTTTAACAAAAAAACCATATTTTTACACTAAAAAATCAACTCTAGTACTATTCACTTTACCCTTTATTTTGTCCTTATTGTTAAAACTCAAAGTTTTCAAATCATTTTTATTAGTTTTCTTTCGTTTTTTCCTTCCCATTCCGACAACCAAAGGATTTACCAAAGATCAACCCATCAAATTACCCACAAGTGCAAAAGACCTCTCATACTCAAGAATTCATCCATCAATTTTCCAGAAAACCACAAATAAAATCTTTATTGGCTGCAATGCTTTCAAGCAAGAATAGGGAAAAACAAGACGGAAATGGAGTTGGGAAAATTTTCAACGGCAAACTCCATGGATGAAGAATTTTGAATTCTTGGAAATCGAAGACGGAGAACTCTTGAGTCACACACCACCATCGCTCCAACTTTGAACAAACAGATATAAAGGAAGAAGCAAATCGGTCAAATAGGCATATCATTGGATCCACTTCATTTTCCCGTTCGATCCCTCCGCCGGTGGTAGCGAGAGATGAAGACGAGTTGCTGCTAGCAAGGGCGAGGGTTACAAGGTCCCCGTTGAGCCTTTTTCTTCATCCCCAAACCTATGTTGAGGATTACTTGGTCGCGAGGGCAAGCTTGTAAGGGTTGCGGAGTATCTGAGTTTTGGGGAGAGATGAGTAGGAAATAAACTAGCATGAAGCAACGTCTTGTTTGTCGTGAAATAAATTAAAAAATTTAAAACCAAATTTGCTTTTGTTAAGAGTTAAATTTTTTTACTAAGTGTTGAAACCAAATTTGCATAATGTCGCGCATAGTGGAGGCACAAACTCGAGCAATTTGCAAAACAGTGAACAATCATATGCAAGTTTAAGACCCAGGGGGTGTGCTAGCAAAAAGGCTCTTAGATGGTTAAGTTAATAAGCAATTTTTAGATTCAAGCAGCGGGCAAGAGACTTAGAGTATTGAGATTCTGTTACCAGAGACAAACCTTATATGTGTGTATTTATACCGTACAGAGATAGACTTTTTTAGGATAGAGTCCTTATTTTAAGTCGGGAGAATTCTAGAGGAAATCTAGAAGTAGATATTACACCCTCTTAGGAGTTATGGTTACTTATGGCGCACGACAATTTCTAGATTGTAGGAACTCCAAGACTTATGAGGAATTTGATTGTGTCCATATCCAGATTAGATCTCATGTCTTGTGGAACAAGCAAAGTCATCTAGCGAAATCGCTCGAACTTTGCCTATTGCCTACGAGCAGAGTTATGGTGGCATTGTTGCTTTATCTGATCCAACTCCACTCGGAGTTGTTGAGTCCATGACCAGATTTCTGAAGTAACAATATTCGGATCAGCCTTACTCCGACCCTAGAAAATTATGGTCCCACAATTGCCCTAACTATGTATCGAAAAGGCAAAATGTTCCCCTTGAGGATGGATAGTTATCCAAAGACCACACCTTATGGAGTAAGCTGGAATACGTACCATTTGTTCTTCAAACTTTGTGTGGTGGTTCGATCTTTTGCGATGAAGTGGAGGCGTTTTGAATACCATGCCATAAGTCTGTAATGATGAAACTTTGTGTGTTGTTACATGTGCACGAAAAATAAGAAATTACCTTTGATACTCTTCACTGATGTTTTATATGAAACCCCGTTCCTAAATTTCACTATTTAAAATTATGTATCTTATATGTAGTATTCATATTCGTAGTTTCGAGGCGTTTATATTTACGGTGTATAAAATTTTTATTCGATAAGTAAAAGGATGAAATTGCCCATATTTTGTTAAACGAGATTCTTTGTGGATGTACTTGATATTTGCATAATTTTTTTAGATTTCTTTGCATATCTGGATAGTATGTGTCGATACAAACGTGTGGGCGCAAACATAACGTAAATTGGAGTTATAACGAAGGAGTTATTAACGAACAAAGTCAAGGGAAAAATGGTCATTTAATTATTAAATTTGGAAGGCTCCATATTTGTTGGAGCAGGAATGGCTAGGATGAAGCCACGTGTGTGGTAGTGATGGAAAGATGAGAAGGGAAAAGAGGTGTGAAACTACCCAATCAAGGAGGAAGGGAATGAGGGGAAATGAGGGCAGGAGATGAACCAGATCTCAAAGCCCTTGACCCGATGACCCGGTTCCCCAACCCGGTTTCTTCATAATTTTCGACCCCAATTCTAGCATTTTTTTCAGCGATTCAAGGCTCGCCACCACCTGCAATCTACAAAACCTCATCTGAGCTTCCATTTCCACACAAACTCTACGGTGATTGGACACGATTTCACGATGAATAATCGTTGTCTTCTCCGGCACCCACAGAGGAGATTCGCCACTCTGGCAAGCTTCATCGTCGAGGACCACCACCAAAAGACTCCTCTCAACCCCAGGAGCAAGGCCCAAGCATTGGATGAGGTGGTGAAGTTCATTTTGGTGACTGTAGACATCGAAATTTCGGTAAATAAATGTTGACCTTGTCTCTTTCGTTTCAGGAATTTTCTGTGTTCACAGTGACGAATCAAAGCTCACCCTTTTCGGGATTTCAGACACTTCGAGGGATTTTCCGGCCACTTCTCAGCCGAATTAGGCTTCAGCCCAGGTATGGAAACAACCACCCACCGGCTTGTGCAGCGGCACGAGCCTTTTTAAGTTAAATTCGATGTTCTGATTTCAAATTTGATAACCGTTTGATATAGTTCAATAGTTGAACCTAGTATAGAATATTACGCCACTTGGCCATTAATGATTCGACGATCCGACTGTTGGATAGTTACCAAACCTTAATATGTTATAGTACGTAATATTTGAGGACTATAGGAACTGACGGATTAGGAATCTAACGTATGGATCTTCCCGACTTGAATTTCTAAGTTTGTAAAACCAAACGTTGATAGCAACCTAATTCTAGCAATTGGTGGAGATTGGACTGTTGGATCGTTCCAAAATTTTAAACTATTGTTCTAGAAGATAAATGAGACCCTTGGAAAGTTACGGATCAGAAATCCATGGGTGGATGTTCCAGATTGACTTGTATAGGGTTGTGGACCCCACCTTTGACATAGACTTGACTTTTGGTCAATATGCTACAAATTGATCTTAAATATTAAAATCAGTATTACTAGAGACTATGTAAGGCTTAGTGGGCCTATATTGGTTAGGGAGTTATCCCATATAATATATACATCGGTTTACATGTATCTGAAGTAATATTGTGATATATATGTGTTTATTTATCTTCTTAATAATGTGAATGATAAGTATGATAAATGTTATGACAATATGATCCTAGAATCCTATTAGAAGTATTATGTAGAACTTATATGCT